TACAGGGAATCTTGAGATCACTCCTAGCTTTTATTCAGTAACCAAAATCAAGATATACTTAATTATAATAGTGTGCATAATTTTCCCCCTCCTCCCTTATATAAACGAGTTCTAAACAACTGGCTGTTCCCCCAGTTTTGGTTAGAGGGGATTACACTCCTTGTGTGTGTTTTGGTTTATTTGATAGTTGTTGGCTTTCTTTGTGCTTTCAACATTATGTACGTTTCCGTTTCAGTTTATTGGTATTTGTATGCCGCCCACTCCCAGAGGACTCTGGGCGGCTTAGAGAAACAAGGGAATTAAAAATTAAAAATAGAAATAAATCATTTTAAAATTACGCAACAGACATACACTTAAAATGGGGCTGGATGAGGACCCAGACTGTGGGGGCGATATGCTGACTCTGTAAACCACTTAGAGAGGGCTGAAAGCCCTATGAAGCAGTATATAAGTCTAACTGCTATTGCTATATCTGTATGTATTATTCAAATATTTCAAAACTCGGTGCAGGCTGGAAGCTATGCTTTCATTGTCATGAAGAAAAAAAAAAGCAGTATACAATTCCTGAAGCATCAACAGTAGAAAAATAGAGAAGATTGCAAAAAATGTTTCTGAAGCACACGCTGGAGTTCTTTTGCTGAAACCCCATATTTAGGATTGAAAAACAATACTTGTTACTAGTCAGAATATTAACAAAATCCAGCTGACATTGTTTATTATCCTTGTATTTTGGTTCATCAACCTTATTCTGTACACAATAGCTGTCAATTAATTCCCCTCCCCCCCGCCGCCTTGCCTACAGTGAGAATTACAGTTTAATCCATCATGGACTACAGTTTAGTCCATCACTCTCTCTCAACACAACACAATGTCACAGGATTGTCATTGTGGGCAAAAAATAGGAGACAGGAACACTAGGTATGCACACTGTCTGGGTGTCACAAAAAATAAAGGTGAATACATTTGTTAGGGAATAAAATCCTAACAAATAAATTAACCATGTCACACGTTTAATTATGACAGGCAGCCATGTACATTTTCTAAATGAATGGATTTCCATTACAGTGTATGCCTCCCCCTGTCCCTCAGCTGTTCTTGGCCTTTTTTACGCAAAACATTCCACATGTAAATACAGTCTGGTTGAACAGATGCCAAGCATACAATAGGATTCGGGTTTAGGAGGGAGATTTGCATGGGGCATTCAACGAAATTTGGTGAAACAATGACCTGGCAGTGGAAAAAGTGATTCTCTCCCCACTTTTCTCCTGCCACAATGAGCCCTGGTGTCAAATCATTCCGGTACCCACTGGCCAACTTAGGAACAGGAGGGGCAATAAAGTAGCTGGATGATCTGACGTCTAGGGATCACCAGATTGTGGCACTGACTGGACGATCGGTGAAGTATATCAGATTTCACGCTCAGGAAAACCGCCATGACTTATTCCCTGCTTAAAGGTAAAATCACTCCATTAACAATGGAACAGCTGGACAGATCATAACCCTCAACACACCAGCAACCAGATGACTGATGAGGTCTGTCAGTCTATCTCCATGGTCAAAACTGTGTTGGGAAAAGAGGGGAAATGGTACTTTAAAACTGAAACAGCAAAGGATGGTTTTAAGCCTCCTCTGGTATTGGCTAGGGGTGACATGAAGGCAACATTGTGAGGACATGGCATGAAAAAAGAGATTGTGCTGTGATTAGATGCAGCTGAGGAAAAACCCATTCTTTTTGATTCCCAACTAAAGGGATGTTAAGGATGACTGAGACGGGTTTTCCCAAGATGACTTAAAATAACATGATAATGATTTAAATGGCAGGTTGGCACAGCACATAACTGCTGTTCAAATGCCTTGGGTCAAAAACGTTCATTCTCTATAATGCAATTACCCACAGTTTGAGTTTCTCCTGTTAATAAATCGGATGCCAATGCAGCTTTTTCAAACAGAAGATTGATATGCTCCCTGTTCCCTGGATTTGGGAGTTTTCAAATATTCTTCAAAGTCAGCTTTATGTACAGAACATTGAAGTAATTCAGGTATGCTGTAATTGAAACATAATTTGAGCTGAGAAGCCACGAAGTATGTAAGAACTGTATCTGTAAGTGGAATCCCAAAGGTGCTTTTTCAAGAGGCCACTGGACAATAAGAATCAGATTTACAGCAGGAGGAGGAAGATTTGCATGGGGCATTCAATGAAATTTGGTGACACAGTGACCAATGGTTTTTCTTTGAAGACTTTTCACTTCTCATCCAAGAAGCTTCTTCAGCGCTGGATGAGATGTGAAATGTCTTCAAAGAAAAACCAGAAAGTCTAGTTGCCTCTTGAAAAAGCATCTTTGCGATAACCGTTACCTGGAAGACTGAGAATCTAAACTATAGACTATAAGTGGAATTTTTGAGAGTGAATGGAATACTACAATAAAGGATTTGTTCAAACAACAGTTTTATCCCAGATTCTATCATGCAGGAACCACCTCTTCCTGCAATGAGATTCTACTTGGTTTGTCCATTATTAGGTACTCTCATTAAATAGGATGAGCAAGAGTCAAACGCACATGTATTTGACATCTTATCTCCCACTCAAGCTGCACATGCTAAAATTCATCCAGTTTAAGTGGACAAGCAAGAGTTAAACATATACCTCCTAATATTCTAATAGTAGCATCCAAGTCAAAATGAAAATGCAGATTTTAGAAACTGGTCATAACAAGATGCTAACCACAGACCTGTACTACTAGCTTGCATGGAATAATCGCTGTGGTAACCCTGTGGTAAAGACATTTTTACCATTTCACTGATCAGACTCGAATATCAATTTGATTATATTCCTCCCAACTTTTTCAACTCTATGACTCTAGCCATCTTACTTACTAACTTTGACTAAGGTTTCAATAGAACAAATGGCACAGAAGACATTTACAAAAGTCATTAGAAAGGCATTTTGGATGGATTAGCCTCCCAGAGTAGACCATCTTGCCTCTGAAAACACCACAAAGCCTAAACGAAAAACACGTATCAGCGGGTAATATAGAGTTGTTCCTAATTTTATCTTAATTGTTTTTCTTCCGGAGGAAGAACTCATAGACTGAATATAGCTTTGTGAAAAGTAGAGCCAATGACTTCAATAAAGATTGAAAATAGGATGTGGAAAGAAGATACCATCAGACAGTCGCTGTTATTAATATGAAACAAAATTAAACACGACCACTACACCAAAATACCCATTTGGCTATCTACGATGGAAGCATACATACATCCAAATTTAATTAATATGGAAAATATAGTTACATATAAAGAGTTATTGAACAGACATGGGGAGATTAAAACTAGACTAGAATTGACATCACAAGGGGTACAAGTAGAATGGTGGTCTTATTTACAGATACAGTCAAGGTTTGCACAGGATAGGAAGAAGGAAGGTATTGCCAAAGACTACACAACATTACATAAACTTTTGATACAGACAGAAAGCAGGCTGATTAAAGTGTTGTATAGATTTTTGTTGGAATACAAGCTAGAGGAGGAGTATGTCAAAGAAACGATGGTTGCCTGGGCAAAAAATTTTGGTTACAATGTGGAATTGGCTAAGTGGGAAAAACTTTGGATACTTAATCAGAAACTAACAATGGCTACAGCATATAAAGAAAACCTTTATAAGATGTTCTACAGATGGCATCTCCCTCTAGCACGGCTCTCCAAAATGTTTAAAAATCTGGACCCAAATTGTTGGAAATGTAAAAAAAACATCAGGCACTTTTTATCATATGTGGTGGATGTGCAATGAGGCAAAAAATTATTGGAAAATGATTCAATCATGGTTAGAACAAATGGTGGGAGACCTAATCTTGTTTAAACCGGAATTTTTTCTCCTAGGTATAATACCAGTGGGGTTTAAGAAAGATACACTTTATTTAATTATTAATGTACTAACTGCGGCGCGCATAACTTAGGCACAATATTGGAAAAAAAATACACCATCAGAGCTAGATATAATCAGAAAAGTGTTGGCCTGTGCCAAAGCAGATAGGCTCACTCTTGAACTTAAAAATAAAGGGGAATCAGAATATTTTGAAGTCTGGAATAGATTTTATGACTGATATAAGACAAGGTGACAAGACTGGAACAAACTGTATATACTGTGATTGGACAGAAGGATTGATAATGTATTAAGTAGGCTAATTGTCAATAGTTGTGACTAGCTGTATATAATGTGAATGTATAGTTACTCCGACTTTGCGGTACTGCATTGTTTTAAATGTAAAAATAATAAAAATATATTGGGGAAAAAAAAGAAAGAAGATACAATTTGTTGTATTCTAAAAGGAAATGATAAGTTACTAAAATTGTCTATACTTGTGGTGATGAAGGTTGGAAGTCACTTCTTTATATTTTTTTTCTGTTTCTTTACTATATTTTTATTTTGTTTTCTCTTTTTAGTTGTGTCTAAATTTTGTGAAAGTTTCCTATCCCTTGCAGCTGCATGCTTTTCCTCACAAATTGTAAAACTTGGGACAATTCTCCAATCACTCCAGCAAGATTTTGGGAAAGACATAGCTGCAAGGGATAGAAAATTTTCACAAAATTCCTATTAAATGCATGTTTATATTTGACACGCAAATTCTGCAGTTTATTTTAGGTCTGTTAATTTAGGTAATTTGATTCTTATTGATACTCGTATTGGGCAGGGCAACATAATCCACTGCAGTATTTGATGGCCTGTCAATTTGCTGACAGAATCATTGTGAAAATTATATGGATTAACATAGTAGGGCTGTAGTAATTCATTGTGATTACACGTTCATTGGGTCATTACAAATGCATTGTGATTACAAATCTCATGGACCAGTAAGGAGTTTAAAATGAAAAAGTTGCTTTAAGCTCAATATTTTAATATAAGTACTTATAGAAACTCTAGATGACTCTGTATCATCTTTGACTGACACATACACACACACAATCTACAAAGAATAATATTGAACTCCGAAAAGAACTACAATATTGTTTTATCTGTAAGAAATTATGTACAAAACATTAGCCAAACAGTAAAAAAGCAATTCTGAACACATTTACTTTCTGTAACCCACTAAAAACTACATATACTATTATGCATAAAATCACATACAATATTTGATATGTCCAGTGGAAAAGTAAATCATTCTATTCAGAAATAAACTCTACAAAAGTCAGTGGGATTTAATCCCAGAGGAACACACAGAGCATTAAGAGTCTTATTTTTGTTTATTACAGTATATAGTTAATATGCTTGTTTGTTTTACTCTGCACAGTACAATTGCATTGCAAGGAGAAGCTTGATGTTTTTTCTAAATAAATAATTTCAATTATGGCATAATCTATAGTGAACCAAGCCATTCACAAAAACATTTGTGATTGTAATTCTGTGAGGAAGTGCAACTCTATTAAATTATGCACTCAAATGGTTTTTGCCTAGGTTAGGAGATAATCTTGCAATTTTTAAAAGTACCATGACTCCATCAATTACCATCAGTCAAAACATGACATCTCATGAAAGAAAGTAGCAGAACTCAACAATCTTTGACCACATTAACAAAATCATTGCATTACAATCAGCATTTATGTGTGCGTCTATGCATATATGCCTTCTAGTCATCTTTTAAAAATTCTAAAGTCATATTTTGACTGAGTGACTGTCTGGATTAATCCCTACAGTTCTTTTGGCAAGATCTGCAGAAGTGGCTTGTCATTACGTCCTTCTATGGACCAAACTGGACCAAATTCACAGATCTGGCTTTGCGCCGAAGGAAGGCAAGACTAGAACTCACCATCTCCTGGTTGGTGCCTTAACCATTACACCAACCTGGCTCTCACTGCATCAAAATCATTACAGTGTAGCAATTTCATGTACTCTACACTAGTTAGACCACACTTAAAATATTGCTTCCAGTACTGGGTCCACAGATTAAAAGCAATTTAAAGAAATGGGAGTAGATTCAAATGAGACATACCAAAAAGTTAAGAGGCTTGAAAACAAAGTTCTATACAGCACAGAGAGCTACAGGTTTAGTTTGTAAAAGGAAAAAGATGATAGGAGATATGAAAGGAGTTTATAAGTATTTAAAGGGCTGTTATTCCTGTGAAAAGCAGGGTGAACCTGCTCTCTTTTGTAAGCAGGACAGAGTCCAATGAGTTGAAATTAAATGAAATAATTATTTCATTTATTCATTCAACATGAATTAAATTAACTAAAAATATTAATTAAGTATTAATTAAATGAAATAAATGAAAAAGAAGACTGAACATTGGGAGAAACTTCTTGATAGGAAGAGCTGTTCAGCAATGGGTCCAGAATAGTGCTTACTGAAAGTCTATGGAGATTGTCAGTCATGGTTGTCCCAAAGGTGCTTTTTTCAAGAGGCAACTGGACTTTCTAGTTTTTTCTTTGAAGGTGTTTCGCTTCTTATCCAAGAAGTTTCTTCAGTTCTGGATGAAAAGTGAAACATCTTCAAAGAAAAACCAGAAATCCAGTTGCCTCTTGAAAAAAAGCACCTTTGGGACCTCTCTTACTGAAAATTTTAGAAAAAAGATTACAGTAGATAGCCCTGTTAAGGGTATGATTTAATGGATTCCTGCATTTAGCTGAGGTCCAACCTTAGCTAAATGCCGGAATCCATTAAATCATCCTCTTAACAGGTCTTAAACCCATAACCCATAAGATCCTTCCAATTCAGGCCCACTGCCATTCTATCCTCTAATGGTATCATGCTAGATCTGGCAACTCTTAACCTTAGCATGAGCTAAGCTCATCCTCAAACCCCCATAACTTTAACCTTAAACTGTCTAGCGTGGACCTCACCACTTTCCTAAGAAGTCTGTAAGGAGGCATAAAGGAACCAGCATGCCTACCATCCCTGTCCAATTGTCCCCATTTATTTGTACCAATTTCCTGTATTCATGTCTATGAATATACTTATACCTGTTATCTCATACATGTTTGACAAACTAAATTAAATTAAAGATAGATAGATAGATAGATAGANGAGCGAGAGGAGGAATTCTGGGAAGTCCACAAGTATTAAAGCTGTCATGTTTGAACACCCCTAGGGTTTTATTTTTGTAAAGAGTTAGGGGTGCAAGGGTCTTGTAACTTGACAGCTTTAAGACTTGCACACTGCAATGCCAGAGTTCCTGAGCCAACATTTTGGTTGCCAAGCAAGAGCGTTGTTAAGTGAATTTCACCACATTTTACAAGTTGGCCATGCCCACCCAGTCACATGGCTGGCAAGCCACTCCCACCTGGTCACATGGACAGCAAGCCACTCCCACAAAACAGGCCACACCTACAGAAGAGGTTCTAAAAAATTTTGAAACCCACCACTGGGCCAAGGCCATGTTTTGAGGGTCAAAAGAAAAGAAGACACTATCTTATTTTTGGGGAAACACAATATTTAGATACTGGCTTACACACCACATTTTTCTTGTAGATTTTATCCTTTTGATACAAAAAGATGGTTTTCAATTCAAGTGGAAGTGATCCCTCATATTAAAACTGTCCTAACATTAAACATTTTTTTTACTGTAAAATGTTGGTTACTGCATACAACTATAATGTACATTTGAGCTACATATCCATACATAAAAGTTTCCTTTAGAAACTTAAACCATAAAAGTGCTACCTTGTTTTTCCTTGAGTGGAAGCCAGAAAATACTGTCTTTACTGGAATGGTGGCATGGAGTTGCATGATGATAATCTGTGATGTGATCATGATCTAATGAAAAAGGGGAAAAAAAACCTCTTATATTTCAATGTCACATTCAAGGAGAATTCGCTAAAGATTGAAATGATCAAAGGCTACTTTAATGTTCTTCAAAGTATTTCTTGGAACAGAAATTGACAGTTAAAAGGTCTTTTTGCATTTTAATTTATATATTACATGCCAAAAAAACTATGAATATTCATAGTGACATATTAAAATTCTTTGAAATAATGTATAAATAATTTCTGCTGTTTCCTACCCTCCGCAAAAATATCTATTTAGCAAAAGGGTTGAGTTAGAGGTTTGTTATTTAAAACAATGCTTACATAGCTTAAAAGAAATTATCTGCACTGAAAACATAATCAGACTAAGATGTACTTTTAGTAATTCTTTGTTTTATAATTTTTATTTGCAATAAATTTTCTGAAGATTTATAATGTTCTCCAGATTCAACAAATCTCTGAATAGAGTTTGATAATAAAATGATTTTAAAATATAATATAATAGAAAAATAAAATAATAGGAAGGCATAAATGCTACTGCTACAATAGTACAAAGCAATGAGTGCTGCTGCTTTAGAGAGAAAAATAAGACTTTGATTAAAAATAAAAAAGGGAAATAATGGATAATCTGGAGGGAGGGAGGGAGGGAGGGAGGGGGAGAGAGAGAGAGAGAGAATGGCTCTACTTATAATTGATATGCAGACAGAATGGCTCTACTTATAATTGATATTCAGATATCTAACGTAAGAATTCTTAATATATGCAATACCATGACCTCTAAATGGTGAAATAAATGAAATGACTTAATGATTTCACTAGGGTAAATGCTTGGTAAAAATCACATCCTTTTTTATAATTATTTTTGGTCTAGATAACAAGTAAACACAATAACTTCTACATTTTATTAAATAAAATCTTCTTTTAAAAATAGAAACATTTTTAAGTAGAAAAGATAAAGTTTTTCTCCACTGCACAATTCCTGAAATCTAGGATTAATTTTGAATGCAATCCATTGTGTTCACTAAAGTTAAGAAAACAGAATTTCAATGCTTTAAACTAGTTTCTGTTATGCTGCTCTTGAAATGTTGCAGCTTGCAAAACAGTGACATGCTATAAGTTGCTTTTGGCACTCTCTCTCCAAGTGCAATTGTGCTGAGATAAAATCACACACACACAAACACCCAGGCAGCTGAAAACAACCGCTGGCAGCTGGAGGCTTCTCGGCACAAAAGGTATCTAAGCCTTGTGTCCCCTCCCCTTGTGTCCCCCCCCCCAAGGCATGAAGGTAGGTGACCGAGGCAGGCGGCAAGTGGGTGGCGAGTGAGTGGCAGCTCTGGGGCAAGGCCAGAGCCAAGGAATAGCACATTCCCCAACCTGGCTGAGGTGGGCAGCAATCAGGTGGTGGCTCCAGGGCAAGGCCAGAGCCAGGGAATGGCGCATTCCCTGACCTGACCGAGGTGGGTATAGAGCGGGTGGCGGCTCTGGGGCAAGGCCAGACCTGGGAAATGGTGCATTCCCCAACTCAACTGAGGTGAGCAGCTAACTGGCAGTGGCTCCGGGGCTTCGGGGAATGGCACATCCCTGGGCCACGGGCCCTGACCCAAGGCAAAGGGTGAATGGGCGGCATGCATTGTTTATCTTTGGTGAGCTGAGCAGAGCTGGTGAGGTGATTAGTTGGGCCGCATGGCAAAGGCAACATATATAGGGCAGGGTTGGGTGGGCAGAGCAAATGGTGAGCAGCCAAAAGGGGAGAGCAGCAAGCAGCTGAAAGGGGTGAGTGACAACCATATGGGCATGGGTTGGCCAGTCAGAGGTGAGATTTACCGGTTCAGTGAACTGGTCCGAACTGGTCGAATATACCCTTGATGGACAGCCTAAAAATGCATAAATGGATCATAGAACAAATCAATTCAGAATTCTTACTGGAAACCAAAATTATTATACTTTAGACGTGTTATATGAAGACTTAGCTCTCCAAAGAAAAAGGAAAAGGGGGAAGGAAAGAGCATAATACCACTTACACAAAGAGTATATGATACAAATACAGTGGCTGTATACTGTAGGATGAAAGTCTGATTCCTGGGGTCCAGCCTTGTTAGCCTCAACCCACACACTATGAACTATTCAGAATTAAATAACTGTAGTTTTCAGGGATATCACTATTATGTAAAAAGTGCTGTTATCGCATGAAAGTTATTGGCATTTTATTATATTATAATGGATAGCAGGAAGAGCTCTATGCTCAATATTCAAATAAGCTAGTCATGAGCAAACCAATCACATTTTATATCTTTGTCATGATTACAAAGATTTAGAATAACCTGTATAGATTTACTTTTCATGATTTAATAGTTACACATTGTTCATATAACTGTTTCTGTTAATTCAACTTGGCTGTTTTTAAAATATTGTGTTGAGATAGTTAATGCACATGACAATATAGGTACATAATTAATAAAGGTGGCATTTATAGAGAATGTAGAAAAAGTATAATTTCAAAAGCTTGCACTGGTAAATGACATGATGAAAAATGTTACTATTAGTGGAAAAATAGGTTGTCGAGAATAAAACAATGTTACATTTGTGTTCAAGAATAAAATAAAGTTATGACTTCCGGGTAATATGGCTAACTGAACACACACATGGGGAGAGATCTCCGGAGGATTTCTCCCTGTAGTGTTACTCTTCTACCTTTTAAATGAAGGGACTGATATCCCATCAGTTTTTATGACCCACCCAGTTAGGATGTGTTGAAGAACTTCCACTCTTAAATAAAGCTGTAAGCTAGCAAATTGCTTTTTGAGTTGAACTCTGAAGCTGTCTACTTGCCAAACCCTGGAAGGGGAGGGGCTGCAATCTGTTCAGGAGTTGGTTGAAGAAACCATCCATTTTGACATTTATTTTTCGAACAGTTATACCTTCCTTTCTTAATCACCTTCAAAAATTATTATTCTATCTTAAATCAACTTAATAGAGGCTTTTTCTACCAACGGCCTTCTATACCTTTTTGAAGACCTGTGCCATTTCAGGGATTTATTTTGTCTTGAACAAGGAAGAAGGCTGCTAAGGCAAGCCAAATAAGGAAGTTTGCTGAGAGAGGGAAAAAGAAAAGTTGGAGAAAGATANCGGCCAACCTAGCAGTTTAAAAACATGTAAACACAAGTAGATAAATAGGTACTACTTGGGTGGGAAGGTAACAGCATTCCATGCCTCTTAAGTGTATAATCGTGCTCCCTTGGCTAAGAACTGGAGATGAGCATTGCCCCCTAGAGTCACAAATGACTGGATGGGGAAACCTTTACCTTTATATTATTCATGTCAAATCTAGTAGAGCCCCAGTGTATACTGTATTTTTAATATTTCAGGTCGGATAGGTGGTTGTGCTAAAGGCAAAGGTGGCTCAATGCACATGTATGCCAAAAACTTCTATGGTGGTAATGGTATTGTTGGTGCCCAGGTAAGTTTCATTAATCAAACTAGCTTTTTATTGAGATGTGGATAAAGCTTTTTTCCCATTTTTTTTATTTTTAAACATTAATGTTTGTCATATTAGATTATTTCATTACTTTTATAATTCTGTGCAGGATGCTGTATCCTGAATACTTCTTTTTTGTAAACCTAACATTAGCTAAATTGCTGATTGCATAATGTAGGAACATGGCCACAAGGCATGATGATGATTATGACCAATTATTGCATGACTTTAAAGATGGATTAAATGAATTCAGGAAAAGACAGCTTTATCAAGGGCACTTAAGATTCAGTGTTATTTCTGGTTGGTGTCATCACATCTCCATATATCAGCTTGGGGAAAACAATAGGAGATGGATATGGCTGATCCTCTGTGTGCAAGCAGTCTACACCTGATTGGCCATTATAAGAAAAAACAAGGTGGTTTAAGATGGTTTACCTATGGCATATAATATCTTATAGGTTCCTTTGGGAGCTGGTATTGCTTTGGCATGTAAATACTTCGGGAAAGATGAGATTTGTGTGACATTGTACGGTGATGGTGCTGCAAATCAGGTAAGTTTCCAGGTTTATTAGATGCATATTTCTATACAGCACTAGCCAATTTGACATAATAATATGCCTATATTTGCCTATTAAACACAATAGGTATGACAATACTAAGGCAGTTGGTTTTAGCTGGAAACTTCTCAGGAGAAGTTTCTTCTCATGCTGCTGTAGCCCACAAACTCTACAATGTAGAAAATCTGATTATAGTAGTTTTCCTGTAATGAATTAAGTAAACGATTTGCACTGCAGAACTGCTGAAGATTTGATTGTAATTTCATTTGGATAATCTTTCCTTGATTTCCAATAAGAGGATTAACTAGCTAGTACTTCAGATAGACACAAGCAAATTGGACAACATCTGACAGTAAGATTGTATCTAGATTGAAAAGGGGATAATGCCTTACCTGTATATTTCTTTATAATGTAATAGTTGCATTTGCAAGAATATACTGTACGTACAGATCTCTAAAATCTGTTCATATTCTTCCAGGGTCAAATATTTGAAACGTTTAATATGGCAGCCTTGTGGAAGCTGCCATGTATTTTTATCTGTGAGAACAATAGATATGGAATGGGTACTTCTGTAGAGAGAGCTGCAGCCAGCACAGATTATTACAAAAGAGGAGACTTTATTCCAGGTCTTAGGGTAAGATATTTACTATTCTCCATTTTTTAAAAAGAAAAATGAACATTATAGTAATACTTTTGAGTACTCTTACGTTTTGTTTTGTTTTGCTACTAGGTTGATGGCATGGATGTTCTTGCTGTAAGAGAAGCTACAAAATTTGCTGCCGACCACTGCCGAGGAGGAAAAGTAAGTATGAGTAGAAATGACTATATTGCATGACTATATAGTGTATGTCTATGTTTGCATGTTTAAGGTAGGCAGAATTTCAGAGAAATGTATTCTGTTTCAAATAAATGTAACAATACTAAAGTAGGAAGTACTTTTAGCCCCATTTGCAAAACTACCTTGTGAGTTCCAAACCTAGTAATATGATGTAAATAGTATATGAATAATAGAAATTAACTCAAGGCTTGATTAAATCTTGCAGATTTGATTCAGTAGCTTTAGGGCTGTGATTATTATTGAACAATAAATCAGTTTCTACTTTTTATAAATCATAAACATGGTGCTTAATAGTGTGATTAACTAGTATGGTAATAAGTAAGTTAACTTCAGATGAAAAAATGAAGAGGCAGCATACTCAAAAAGGATACCATTAAATATCTGCTCAATTTTAGCAATAGCACTTAGACTTATATACCGCTTCACAGTGCTTTACAGCCCTCTCTAAGCATATTTCCCCCAACAATTGAGTCAACCTTGAGCCTGGTAAGATTCAAACTGCCAAACTACTGGCAGTTGGCAGTCAGCAGAAGTGACCTGCAGTAATGCATTCTAACCACTGCATCACCACAGCTTTCAATTATAACCAAATAAACAGTCATATGTGTCATTAAAGCTATGATTATCCAATAAACATCAGCACGAAGGTTGTGTGCACCTGTCATAGGTGAAATGAAGGAATATTTTGTGGCAAATGAAGATAAATATACATATCCGAGGATAATGTTGCAGGATCCTATCTAACTTAGTCACAAAAGGTTTACTCTTCTGAACTTTCGGGCTCACTCTGGAGCCCATTATCAGGGAACTTTTCTCTCTCCAGAAGTTGAGTGCAATATTCTGGTTCCCTGATGATGGGCTCCAGCACAAGCCTGAAAGCTTTGAAGAATAACCCTTTGGCCCCGGTGACTGACAAAAATTGGATCCTGCAAGATATTCTGTGCTAAACTGCAAGAAGGACCTAATTGCAACATTGAGAAAGAATGCATATGGGTGATGGGAAGGCAAAATTTGGAGAAAAGAAGAACCTAGCATTGCTGGAAGATTTGGATTGGATAAATGCAATGTGAAAGAATTATGTTACCAGTTCTTATAAGGCAACTTAAACATACAACTTTACATATGGACTTTACATATGGACGTCACCACCAGTTTGATACCAGTTCATCACAGTAACTTTATATTGTGAACCACATAACCAAACAGAGCCTCTCATAACAGTTCTTGGCAAATTCATTTTTAAATTAAAAAGCTCAGTGTATATATAGGCATTCCTCAACTTAAAAGAACAATTGGGACTGAAACTTCTGCCAAGTAATGTGGTCATTAAGTGAGGCATGCCTGATTTTATGACCTTTTACTATAGTCATTAAGCAAATCACCACAAATCCTGTAGTCAGAAAGCAAATCTGACTTCCCCATTGACTTTGCTTCCCTTTGGGAAAGTCATAGATGGCGATTCCATGACCCCAGGATGCTGCAACTGTCATAAATACATGCTGGTTGCCAAGCACCCAAATACTGATCTTTTGGCTGTCGGGACATTGTGATGGTCATAAGACTGGTCATTAGTCACTTTTTTCAACATAACTTCAAATCATTGTTAAATGAATGGTCATAAGTCAAAGTGTACTTGTAGGCATCTGCCCTTCTCTATTAAATGAGGTTTGAGGGATTTTTCAGAGTTTTCAAAGCATTCAGAAAATAGGAATAAGAACTGCAATCAACAATTTAGTACAATTTAGCCAGCTCTCAAGAATAGTCTGTATTTATGACTCTTACAGAGAAATTATATAAATCCCAGTTATGCATACCAAAAATGGGACATAGTACGGTAGTAATTTATTCGGACCAAGTATAAGTTCCTGAAATTTTATTCAAGTCTAAACATTAAATATTTAATATAGCAAAGTACTTTAAACATATAAATGTCTTAGGGAAAATTGGTAATATTTTTGTTGCTGGCTTGATCAGACCTTGTTTTTTAACAGTGTAAGATGAAAAAAGTTGAGAGCTACTGGTCTAAATGATCATCTTAAACTGGCATGTCTGTATAAATTTAGCAAAATCAAGGCATTATTTTCAAAGTTATTAAAGACTTTCTTTTTAACAGGGCCCTATTGTGATGGAGCTACAAACATATCGTTATCATGGGCACAGTATGAGTGACCCTGGAATCAGGTACAGTAATTCTTTACTGTTGCATACATGGTTATTAGTGGTGAGAAAAATAATCATCCTGGAGCATAATTGAAGAAAAAGCAGAAAATGCAAATACTTTACCAACTAGAGGCATAAAATTTTGGCCAAGAGAATAAGACTACAAATCTCTTCTACTACATAAGCTTACATATTTTTAATCAAATCATTTTCTTAAAATGAGAAAATTAATATAAAGATTTTTCACACTGCAGGTTGTATCCTCTTCCTACCTTGCAGGAATCACATGATAAAAGCTTGTGAGGGCAAGGCAGGAGTGTTGTCAAAATACATACTAGGCATTGGATCCTACTTGGCTTGTTTAAGCTAGCTGTAGGCTTGCCTGAGCAAAATAGAAGTGAGTTTTAACAGCTCTCCCATTTTGCCTGGCATGCCTGCAGTGGATGGTTACATTACTGGAAGTCTGAGAAGTCATGTATTAAATTAAAATTTAATTATTAAATTAGGTAGTATATTTATTTCTTACCCATCCCTACTTCAATAAACGGGGGTATCATTTTAGGGGGCTTGGCATTGGAGTATTTGCAAACTAATAATAAGGGGCTAACCAACATCTTATGCAAATATGGCCCATTAGTATGAATGATTTGTACACTTTCCTGTTAATCAAAATAGTCAACGCAAAATATGATTTAGACATGGCTTAAGCAAACCATAATCTTACAATTGTTTTTATAACTGTAAGGTGCAGCTTGAACACACTTCTCTACATGAGAAGCTTAGATGACTGTGTACATGCATACCTAGTCATATTTCACAGTTTCTTCCCTATTTATTTTCACTAAATTCTGAAAGTTTTCTCTGCCATTTTATAATACATTTTGTAAATGGCCAAACTCAACCAAATTTAGGACTGTTTTTAATAATGCACTTACAGTTTGCATCCCTTGCATTGGATTAATTTTACACTTTTATTGTTTTTACAATTTGAGGATTTATAGTAGAAACAATTAATATATATTACAAAAGTATAACAAGCCGTGCCACGTGTACAAAATGTAAATCTGCCTGTAGACTTTTCTCATTTCAAATCAACAATCCGTTTTTAATCAGACATATTATAATTTAATTGATAGCATTGATTTCCAATCCTGAATACATATCTTAATTTCGCTTAGTTTGTTAGAGCAATGAAAGGCAATGAATTTTAAATGTAAATGTTCCTGCTGTCTATATTCATATTTTACCTTAAATAATATTCTTGCCCCTGCAGAACAAAGCCTTGAATATCTTACCATTTGCCATATAAATGCCATAAATGACATAATCTTTTTTCATTATATTAACAATTTATTGGCAGAAACTGTTTTCATATGGTTTTGGAATTGGCTTTTTTTACAGTTACCGAACAAGAGAAGAAATTCAAGAAGTAAGAAGCAAAAGTGATCCTATTACTCTCTTAAAGGACAGAATGGTGAACAACAACTTAGCTAGTGTGGAGGAGCTCAAGGTAATATTTTTTCTTTTCACAGGTTGTGAAAATTAGATAGAAAAATCTTTTTCTCTGAATGATTAATCATGAGATGGAGGTACAACTAGTCCTCATTTAATATCCACTTGTTCAAATCAAAGATGTAACTACCTTGCTAAAATAATCAACCCCACGGATTATTACCCCTTTCTTCTACACATGTGGACCAATGACACAATAATGAATCTGAAAATAATAACAGATTACAAACAACTAGGGAAGAAAGTTAATGAATTAGGAGCACAAGTGGTGTTTCCATCTATACTTCCAACAAAAGGCCAACATCCATTGAGGAAGAAAGGATTTTAGAAATGAAATACTGGCTTAAAAACTGGTGTCTTTAAGAGAACTTCAGCTTCTTAGACTATGACCTGCATTACCTACATGAAGCGCTACTGGCAAAGGATGGATTGCACCTCACAAGAACTGCAAACAATATATTCAAAAAACAACTGGCCCATCTTATCAAAAGGGCTTTAAACTAAAATTGAGGGGGGCAATCTTCATGACCTTTAGCACCTAATTTCAAGCAAAAACCACTATATAACCAATCACATGAGAGAGTAAAGAGAAAGAAGAAATTAAAAAAGAAAAAGATAATGAAGTAGAGAGTGATGGGAAGGATGGAAATCCTAGTTACAAAGTAGGAGATATAAGAAATATACCCAAGATCCATAAAAGACTCAAATGCCTATACACAAAGTTTAGGGAACAAACAGGGTGAACCTGAAGTATTAGTATATGAAGGTAGATCTGATATAGTTGCCATTACTGAAACCTGGCGGGCTGAAACCCATGACTGGGATGTACTGAGAAAGGATACAAACTATTTAAAAGAAACAGACCTAACAAAAGAGGAAGTGGAGTTGCATGGCATATGAAAGATCACTACTATATCTCTACACAAAACTAAGGATCAAAACCTAGAATCCATATGGGTCAATATAAGAAGAAAAAAGAATGACATTGTTATAAGCTAACAATATGCTACAGGCCACTCAACCAAGCAGAAGAAATAGATGAACTCTTTCCTAAAAAATTAATGTAGGAAACACACATAATAGTAATAGGAGACTTTAACTACCCTGATATCAACTGGGAGACAAACTCTGCATCAAGTGGAAGATTGAACAGAATCCTAATCAAATTATCTGACAACTTTGTCATCCAAAAGGTAGAGGAGGGAACTAGAGGAAAAGCTATATTGGACCCAATTCTTATTAGTAGAGAAGAAGTGATAGAGAGTTGAAGTTGCCAGAACTTTGGGTGAGAGTGACCATGTCATATTTGAATTCAATATTATGCAAACATAAGCAATAGAAAGAATAGCATAGCATAGCATAGCATAGCATAGCATAGCATAGCATGGCATAGTTGGAATGGATCTTGGAGGTCTTCTAGTCCAATCCCCTGCTTACGCAGGAAAGCCTATACCATTTCAGACAAATTGTTATCCAATCTCTTGTTTAAAACTTCCAGTGTTGGAACCTTTACAACTTCTGGAGGCAAGTTGTTCCACTGATTAATTTTTCTAACCATCAGAAAATTTCTTTGTTCTAGGTTGCTTCTCCCCTTGATTAGTTTCCATCCATTGCTTCTTGTCCTGCCCTCAGGTTATTTGGAGAATAGCTTGACTCCCTCTTGGTGCCAGGGCTGAGCCCTGAATCTCAGGCCCTGAGATACTGGAACATTGCTATGTCTCCCCTAGTCCTTCTTTTCATCAATTACCCAATTCTTTATATGTTTAGCCTCTAGTCACCTAGAATATAATCCAACCAGTGTCCTAAACTTTAAAAGAGCGGTTTTAAACGAACTTGGAGAGAGCCTAAGAAAAAATTCTATGGATAAAAATCCTAAAGAGGGAAACAACTCAAGAAACATAGGAAACTCTGAAAATATGATCATAAAAGCCCAATACCACTGAAAAAGAAAAACACGAAATCCAAGAAGAAACCACCATGTTTGCACAAGGATCTCTCTGATAAACTGAAATACATAAAGGATAAGTACAAAAAATGGAAATGACACATAACAGGCAGAATATCAGCAGATAAACAATCTGTAAAGATGAAGTCAGGGAAACAAAGGCTCCAAATGATCAAAGACTTGAAACAAAAGTCAAATATAATAGTTTCTTTCAACATATAAATAACAAAAAAGTCAAGAAAATAGTGGCAAGGAGTGGCAAGGAAGTAATAGGCACTAGAGAGAAAACAGAGCTGCTTAACTCATTCTTTGCATCCGTCTTCATGCAAAAAGAAACTAGCCCAATCTACGAAAAACATACTGTAACTCTAAAAGACAGACTAGAAATAAGCAAGAAAATGGTAAGAGAAAGCCTGTCTAATCTTGATGAATATAAATCACCAGAATTCTGAAGGAGCTGGCAAATGTTATCTCAGAACCATTGTACTATATCTTTAAAAAACACCCTGCAGCACTGGGGATCTGCTAGAGCAGGGGTGTCAAACTTGTGGCTTGGGTGCATAACATGCTAGCCAAGCCCACCCCCATTTTAGTGAAGGGGGGAAAAAGCAGCGATACGTCACGTGACAATGTGAGTTTGACACCCCTATGCTAGAGGATTGGATGTGGTTCCCAATTTCAAAAAAGGGGGAAAAAACGACAGACCAATCAGCCTAACATCAATACCTGGGACGATATTGAAAAAAATAATTAAAAAACAGATCTGTATATATACAAAATATCACATACCAGGAATAGCATATTAAGCTGGACTTATGCAACCTGATCTACAAAATAAACACACACACATTTATGCTCTGGACTATAGACATTGAATGCATGTAAATCCTTGAAAAATATGTGTGGTAGTCCTGGGCAAAAGAAAGGCTCCTGTGTAGGGACAGTGTAAAATATTAACACATGATAAATAATGGAACAATTAAAAATGATAGCAGGGTTTTCTCTCTCTCTCCCTACCTTCCTTCCTCTTTCTCTTCTCTCTCTCCTTTCAACTTTCTCTTTCTTTCTCTCTTTCTTTCTTTCTTTCTTTCTTTCTTTTTCTAAATCACTCTAAGGTTTGATGAACGCAGTCACAAGTTAAGGATGAATTAAGTCTTTCTCCAAAACTTCAGTATTCCAACAAAAACCTCTAAGTCAGCATCAAACTCAGGTTTCGATTTTTATCCAGAGCCTACCAGCTTCAAAAGTTTGGGACAGACCAGGTCTCTCCAGCTTAGCTTTCCCAATTAGCCCTGACAATCAGGAAACTATGGGTGTGTGCCACTTCTGAACCCTCAGCCACCCTTGATATCCCAAGAGGACTTATTGATGTTCCGCTATCATGGGCTTTGAGAGAGTGGCCACCACAAGGGATGGAAGGCAAGCAAGGCTAGGCAGCATCAGAAAGGAAGGCTAGGATGAGGGATGTCTATGGGGATTCTTGGTCATCCAGGTTGTCCCAAAGATGCTTTTTTCCCCCCAAAAGGCAGTTGGATTTTCTGCTTTTCTTCAAAGATCTTTCACTTCTCCTCTAAGAAGCTTCTTTAGTGCCTCCAGAAGCTTTCTCAGAGCTGAAGAAGCATCCTGGAGGAGAAGCGAAATATCTTCAAAGAAAAACCAGAAAGTCCAGTTGCCTCTTGGAAGAAAAAAAAAAGCACCTTTGGGAGAAATGGATGAGGGCACCCAGTCCTAGCTTGTGCCCCTCGTGTCCCGGCATCCATCCCAAGGAAAAACTGAACCTGTCTGGGCAGGCTTGAAAAAGTGTCCATGATCCACAACCAGCCAACCTGCAAAAGCATGGAGAGGGGTGCGGGGGCACATGTCCCCACATTTAAGACCAATCACACCCAAGCTCCCCCAACATAGTGGCCAGATATGGGTGGTGGATGATCCCTCCTCGGTCTCTCAAAAAACACCCCCACCTTTGGATTGGGCGATTTCTTTGCCTGGCCTGGCCCAGTTGAGCATGGCCTTCAGCTGCGCTGCATTTTTTACAGTGAGCTCTAGGGCTTAGATCTTTTGAGATGAGTACGCCTAGGTCCTTGACAGAGTGTGGATCATCCATTAGGTCATTTCCGCCCAGCTTGTATTTGGTTTCTGGTTTTTGTCGCCAATGTGTAGGACAGAGCATTTGTTAGCAGAGATTTGGAATTGCCAATGGTTTGACCATTTAGATACACAGTCAAGGTCGTTTTGTAGGGTGGTAGTATTATCTGTGTTGTTAAATAGTTCTAGGTTGTTGGCAAAGAGGAAGCAGCTGCTTATAATATGATCGTAGAGGTCATTTATGTAAAGCAGAAAGCAGAAAGAGTGTGGGTACTGCCTTGGTGGACACCACTGTTAACTGGTGCAGGGTTTGATATAGCGCTTCCAATTTTGACTACTTGTTGCTGGTTTGATAGGAACGCAGCTATCAACTTGTGCAAAGATCCAGAAATGCCATAGAAACTTAGTTTTAACAGAAGTTTGTCATGTACCACTGAATCAAAAGCTTTGCAGAAGTCTATGTAGATTGCATCCATTGCTTTACCCTGGTTGAGTTGTGTGGTCCAAATGTTTTTGCAGTGTAGACGCTGCAGATTATAATTTTTTTCTGAACCAAATTGCTTGTTAGGGAGTAGGTTGTTTGTCTTTAAGTGGAGGGTAATAGATTGGTTTATGATGGATTCCATGACTTTAAGGAGACACAGCAAAGGGAGATTGGTCAGTAATTCTCAACAAGGCTGGGGTCTCCTTTTTTGAAGATAGGAATGACAGTTGCTATTGACCATAGGTCAGGCAAGGAGCTGGTTCTAAAAGATATTTCATAGATAGTGCTTAGAGGGTTGGCTATGGCAGTGGAGAGCTTTTTCAGAAAGTAGGCACATATTCCATCAGTACCAATAGATAGAGATATTTTAGGTTGCGTAGTGTCCTTTTGACTGTGTCTTCAGTAAAATCAATGTGTATTAGACCGTTGCAATTGGTTGCAATTAAATAAAATAGCAAAAAATTGCTAGCAGCGGTGGCTTTTCTGTCCCATAGATTCCTGCTGTGCTCTTCTGCCTTCTGCGCATCTGCACATCAGGCACTGAACTCAGCTGTTGTTCCTCCTCCTCATCAGCCACCTCCTAACTTGGGGGCTGTTGACTCTCCATCTGAGGATTGATGGAGGGCTCCGCCTCGGTCTTTATCTGTGACAGCTCCATTCCTTCTTCCCCCTTGGAGCTCTCAGATTGCCTTGATGCTGGCCTTGACTCACATGCTGCCGCCACATCTGATTTGGTTGCTGGAGGGGCCAGCAATAACCCTTAAGTATTTCATCTTTTTCTCAACCTTTAAACCCAACTTTTTGTTTGGTATATCACTGTACTGTAAAGACCTATTCTTGATCAGCATTATTTTCTGTTTATTTTGAAACCTGCCAAAGCCCCAAACTGATTTAATTTCCTTATCCAATATTCTATATTGTTTTTTAGGTTCTATAATAATATAGCAAACTTTCATATATACTGAACTTAAGGGCCTTTCTACACAGTAAGCAAAAAGAGACTTATACTTTTGGGGGCCCCACAATGGAGTATGTTTTTTTAAATAATTGATTAGTAGTTAAAATGGTTAACATGTTAACAGCAATTAACATGGCATTTTGAATTTGTCTATCTACATTCATATTTGACACATCGGTGTCATAATCACATTTATTAGAAAAATTCCTTCAGAACTTTTTAAACTAGCAATCATAGTTGACAAATGTTTGTGTGTATTTATACCCTATATTTAGTTCGTCTTCCTTTTGGTTAAAGATGCTCCTGCAACAGTATAATCTATTGTTCTCTTGAATCTTGGTGCTCTTCCCAAAACATTGGTCAAATAGGAAGAAATTAAAATCCAAACCTTTAGGAGATAATTATTATAGCTAGAGACAGAAACTATTCCTACAATATTATAATTAGATCATCATAGGTATTAAAATATGAAAATGGCTTAGGACGTGTGTAACAGATATGAGGACTACTTTTTTTTTTTTAAAAAAAAGATCATGATTAGAATTTTGGTAGCTTGAAGTATCTACACTTACATTAGAACCAGAAAGTGTGATTTTGATCCAGATTATTTATTGCAATAACAAGCTATGTATTATTAATGTAAGTTTAAAGCACTTTACTCTGTATTTTGGCAGGCTTTCTTCTGTCTATTAATATTTTATTGTTTCTGGTGTAGGAGATTGATGTGGAAGTAAGAAAACAGATTGAGGATGCAGCACAGTTCGCCACCACTGATCCAGAACCACCTCTGGAAGAATTAGGCAATTATATCTATACTAAAGAGCCACCCTTTGAAGTGCGTGGTCCAAATCAGTGGATTAGGTACAAATCTGTCGGCTAAGAATTCTGATTCAGCAACTAGTTAAACTGATAGCATATTGGAGTTTAACTGTTACATCTGTTCTAAGTGATAAAAGCCAGATAAGATAAATCATAAAATAAATTTTAGGGAGGGGGGGGGAAATGAGAAATAAGGAATTTTGAAAGAAAGTTGTGCAAGAAGTAAATTAAACAAAGTTTATTAAACTTCTGTTTGTTCTGTGTTGCTGTATGATGAAAATTAGTTCAAAATGGCATTATTATTTACATTAATAAAAAAGTTTCATCAAGATTTTCTAAGCATGTATTTGCTTTATGTATATCTCTTTTGCTTTCTTCCATTCATTGTTTTTCATGGTTTCGTCCATTGTATTTACTTTAAAACTTAATATTTTAATGTACTCAAAATATATTGATATTTACTCTAAATAATATATTCAACCTACATTATTTTTTATTAGTGTGGAACCCTGCACAATTTGAAATGCTTTGTGGTTTATCTTGCTCTTATGAAATAATATAAAACCTAATATTTTGTTATACAACACCCATATTATTTTTAAAAAGCAGGCATATTAGAAAAGGTTTACATTTTACATATGAGCAACTGCATTTTGTAAGGTGAACTGTTCATGTAGCTAAGTATTTTCTAAGTTACTGTACATGTCTAAAGTTGTGTAGATTGTTTAGATAATACACACACACACACACACAATTTGTAATATCATTTAATATTTATAAACAGAGCTTTTAATTGTGCAAAACATGCAAGGCAATCTGTATATAAAACTTATTTGGAATGTATTTTTTTTCTTACAGTCCATTAGCATCTGGCAAAAGTAAAATGCTAATCTTCCATTCCCAAGACTGCATTTTGCTTTCTGTGTTTTAATATTGCATTCCAGATGCGACAGACAAGTCCACCACTGTATGAGAAAATAAAACATCATCTTAGGTTCAGTCTACTAGAAAGCAGTATTTTCTAAAATTATGCAATACTGTTCTTACCGGAGTCTGAGCAGTTGCAAATCCTCCTTTGTGATACTGTTCAGAACATCACTGAGTGTATAGTCCTCTTGAACAAACTGAAATAAATTATTTGTGTTTAGAGAACAGTAAATGATGGCATTTAACATCTTGGTTATTTAGTCTTACCCTGTCAATTGCATCTGAATCAGCTCTTTGTTGTTTTAACCATTTAGTAAGTTCTTCATCAATGTTGTGCTGAAGAGCAGGTGACAACGGTTGAATTTCTGCAACAATTCAAAGTATATTAATTAAACATATTGTCCAAATGTTTGTTTCTAGAATACGCCTTAGCTATTAATAGGTATTACTTCATATAGTCTATTAACTCCACTTAAATGAGCGTAGAAAGTTTCATTTGCTCGCTTACCCCTAGTATTTAACTGGAGCTGAAGAAGTTGCAAATCTTGATTTTTTTGTTGTAATGTTTGCTGAAGGAGTGTCTGGTATTCCCTTTCCCTCTGTATTAGGTTTTCCAATAACCTATTATATGAAAAATTGTACTGACATAAAACAATCTAATTTAAAAGCTATTTATTCACCTGGACAACCTAATTTGAAATGTTTATTATTACACAATATTTTTCTTTTTTCCATACACACAAATATGATTTTACCAAATTATGATTTTCAACCAAATGAACTACATTCAATTAAGTCATGCATTCAGGCCATCAATTAATTGTACAGAACCCACTTATAACATGCAAAGAAGTCTGGTATAAAATTAATAAACTGTTCACATACTGGTATTTAAAACTAGGTGTGTATATGGAAACTAGGATATTCTCTGGAATGTAGGATATTGTCTTAATTTGCTCAGTCCTAAATCTAAATTTAATAATATATTACAGTATTCTATGCAAATGTATTTTGACTTTCTGGAGCAGAAAACATTTTTTTTCTTTTGTGGACTATATTTCTGAGATTGAAGGGTTTTTTTGGTTTTTTTGCAGAGAGTCAGTTTGGTTTAGTGGTTAAGATACCAGGCTGAAAAGCAGATTGCGACTTCAAGTCCTGTTTTAGACATGAAAACCAGCTTGGTGACTTTGGGCTAATTATTCTCAGCCCACCCCACCTCACATAATTGTTGTTGGGATAAAAACCAGAGAAAGGTGTGTTAGATATGTTCACTTCCTTGAGTTGTTTGTAAAAATAATTAAGACAGTATATATTCTAGGTTCTCTGTTGGGCTGTACACTAGCTTTGGTGACCCAGAGATAAGAATGAGTGTGGACATCCCTTTTGTCTTCCTGTCTGTTGCGGAGAAATTACTTGTCCTTGCAAGATAAATTTAAAAATTCAGATTTTATAGCCAATTGGTTTTATAATCAATTGGTTGAGCTTCTATTGCTGAAGAAATTTATGCAATATGTAGATTATCATAAAAATGACTAAAATGTCAATTTGAATGTTTTAATGAAAATATTGTCCAGAGCGCTTTACCTGTTTGTTCGCTGCTTTAATTTATTTAATTGCAAGTTAAGTTTCTCTTCAGTGTCTGGGGACTGAGAAGAAGTAAGTGTGCACCCTTCAGCAGTAACTGATTCCTCTGGTCTTCCTTGCTGATAATCTTCCTCAATTTCATTTGCCTCTTTATCTACTTCAGTTTCTGATGCTGGTTCAAAATGAGTTCGAAGCTCTGTGTATAAAGCAGAATTGTACTAATTTTTTACTTCTTTTCTTGTAATATGAATCTATAATATTAAAATCTCCATTTCTAAATGATAGCCATTTAAAAATACCTGGCCTGTTGCTTCAACCACTGGCCACAAGGCATCCTGATCAGCTGCTTCAAAGACGGGTTAACCAACAAAGTCTACAACACCTGCATCTCCATGGGGCATTCCCCCCTCCATGTCCTAGCTGAGGAAGCAGACATCAACCTTGCCTGAAACAAGCATAGCCCAGGGATGAGGTGGCAAAAATCCTTGGAGAAGGAAGAAACCCCGAGAGCACTGGGTTTCTGAGTGCAGGTCCAACTGATCGACTCAGTGAACAACCCCAGACCTGCTGAAGAAGGTCATAGAGTTCCCCCCATCCCCAGGGAAGTGGCCTGATCACCCTGGTGACAGTCCCCATTGAACTGATCATCTAATCCTCAGGACAAAAAGCTAGTCTAGCAGACCTTCTAGACTCGAGGTACACCAGGTGCTTGGTCAAGTCTACCTCCTCCATTCTATAATTCAATAGGTAATTGTATATTTTCTTAATCAATTTGTCCTCTGTACCTTGTAAAATCTTATCTAATTCTTGTGGTTCTTTTTGGAATCCATATTGTTCTGAGTCTTTCTTATATCTAGCCTGAATCTGCATGTATGGCCACCAATCGATGTCTATGCCTTTGTTCTTTTAGTTTTTGTCTTGTTTTCAATTCCCCGTGGTCATTTAAGAAGGTTTTGTATCTTTTTATTTTGTCTATATCTTTGGATAGATTAATGCTTCCATCATTGATAGCCAATTTGCTACTTTATTGTAATGCTTTTAAAAAATATTTTTTGCCATAACTGTTAAAGTAGAATAAAATATAGATTAAAAAATATAAGAATAAGAATAACGGGGACAGTTAGAAGTTTGCTTAAAGGAAGTGTCACCATTCACTAACCACAAGATGTTTTAGCCAACGTCCCTATGTCAAAACCTATGTCAAAAGTCCAAACCACAAGGTTCAATCGAACCCTCACCACCCTCCAGGCCTTCCGCAAAGCCCTTAAAACTTGGCTGTTCCGACAGCCTGGGGCTAAAGAACTGTTGCCCCCGCCTCGAATTGGTATGACTGTTGTGTTTTAATTATGTATTGTTTTTTATGTCGTTTAAATTCTTGTTTGTATCCCCCTTCCCTGGTTGAGTTGTGAGCCGCCCTGAGTCCCCTTCGGGGAAAAGGGCGGCATATAAATAAAGTCAACATCAACATCATCAACATCAATTAAAGTTCGTTAATGACATGTAATCCATACCTGTAACAAAAGGAGAAATAAGACCTCCATCTCCTTATAAGGCTTTCTCCTCAAGGTAACCACTAAGAAATGAGTTAAGTGTTTCCGTGTTACCCTGCCTTTGAGAATGTATAAGAACGCATGCTTCGATAATGAAGGTTGTTCAGAACTTGCAATGCTAGCCATGGGCTAGTTTTCTGAACCTGGCTGCCAAATAAACTTTTCCTGTATCCTGAGAAGTCTAAAGCCTGGCATTTTCTGCAACAATTCTGGTGACCGTGGCAGGACTTAGAGCGATAATTTCGCTGAGGACGGAACAGACCGACCGGTGCCCCATTGAGGCCATCTCGCCCGTCTTCAGGCGCCAACAGAGACCTTTCTCTGGAAGAGGGCTGATGACCTCTCTTGGGCATCCGGAGCACACCACCGATCCAAGAATCTGACCAGGGTCAGGACAAGTTAATAAAACTTACGCCAGCTGGGAAAGAAGACGTCTGCAGGCAAGTATCAAAAGAATTGTAGACCCACTCGGTTAGGAGTGGAAGAGGGGGCCCGATCACCCCCCTGAGCCCGGGATAGTGTCCCTTCCAAACGGAACCGGCGTATTTTAATGAGGCTCTAGATTTATGTTGGAGGTTAATCTGCTGCAGTTCTTGTTTGGTGACCGTGAGCTCCAGGGCCGCAGGTCAGCAGAAAGTGTATTAGAAATAGAACATGAGAGGGGGGGGGAGCGTTCTTGAACGCCCCTCCAATACATGTTGAAAAAAAACTTCAGAAAAGTTTTAGTAAAGTCTCTGGCAGAGAAATTATCCTCACCCCCATTGTACAAGTCTCAAGGAGGTTGTTTGCAGGGATTGGTAGTTAGAGACACATATGCTGTTGTTAATCAGGTTGCTGCAGCCCGTCTCAGTTGTGAAAAAAACAACCCAAAGAGAGGATGGAAACTTCCTTTGGAAGTCCTTCTACAGGGCTCCCAGGTGCTGTGTGGCAAATAGATTTCTCCACAATATTCCCAGAAATTGGGATTTAGAGATCTCTTGGTTTTGTGTGTACTAAAAGACATTGTGTCAAGATTTGGGGTGCCTTTCTGTAGGGCCTCAGATTCTGGCCATCATCAGATGAATTAAGAGCCCCACCCAGATGCAAATGATGTGTTAATGAAAGTCTCCATATATTTTGATCTTTAAAAATATGCCAGCGTGGGCTGGGAGGTCAAGATAGAAGAATTTGGATCTTTAAAAATTAGCCAGCGCCACTGGCAGATCCAAATTAGAAACAGAACACCCCAGAGCAGAGACAGGTATTAACAATCTAGTGCTTAAGGAGATAGAACATTGGACATAACTTTGAGCAAAAGTAAGAAATTTAGCAGGTAATAAGAAGGTAAAGCCTATTGAATGGGAAGACCTAAGAAAGTTTTCCCTTTCTTCTGTCAATCCCCCTGAGAGTGACTATGCCTTTGAAAGGCTCTCTGCCAGGCTTTAGGAATGGAGCTCCGGTCCCTCCCTCTGCTCCACAGTGACATCACTGCCGGAAGTCCAGAGATTATTTTTGAAATTCTTTTATTTGGGTTAAGTCTCTAGAATAAAAGTTGGAAGCTATCTCACCCAATTTCAGTGCTCTGTCCACGAATCGCTCCAGCACTTAATGTCCCAGTTGTCACAGCTTGTGACTTGCCAAAAATGACCATCATCCCTGCTGCCATTCAGGTGAGCTTTCTTCAGACGTAATGAGGCAATTGCGAATTCCTCGTGGTTGATGAAGCACCTCTCTTTTCTTTACCACCCCTCCAAGGTGGCTTTGACACCATAGGGCCTCATGGTCAGCAGATACCATCTGTTTTTCATGGAGATTGGCGGAGCACTGCTATTTTTAGCTATTCTCACCGTGATGCCAATTGGTTCTCCACAGCAGGTTACTTCTGCTGATCACTTCACTGCAGCCAGCAGTTTGGGTCTCACCGGCTCAATGTTGACTCAGCCTTCTATCTTTCTGAGGTCAATAAAATGAGGACCCAGATTGTTGGGGGCAATAGGCTAACTCTGTAAACTGCTTAGAGAGGATTGTAAAGCACTGAAGTGGTATATAAGTCTAAGTGCTATTGCTATTTTGTACCCTACTAAAAAATTGTTCTGCACCTTGTCTACACACTGATGGACTATGGGGGGAAGGCTAAAGAGAATCAGGGGTTTAATTCCGTATTGCCACATGGGAATTTTAGATTCCGCTTGACTTTACTGCATTCAGCATCTCTTAGTAAACGTGCCTTTTCACTTCAACCAAATGGAGTTGGGAGTTTTACTTCCCAAGGAGATCAGACTGTGGCAGGTCTGACTCTCTTCCTATTTTGATGGGTAGGTGACTTCCTCCTTGATAGTCAATTATTGTCTTTTCTTCATTTGTCTGGTGCCTGTTTATTGGAGTGTTGCTTGCTGGAGGGGATATGATTCCTTCCTAGTTTTTTTCAATTGAAATTTTAGGAAGAAAACATATCACCAATAAGGATGGTGTATGTGTGTATTCTGACCATGTGTGCAAACATTTCTACTCCATTTGTCATTATCAAAAAAAAATATCTGATGATAATCTATGACCAAGATTTTTATATAGATCTTATACTACAAGACAAAAATCTAATGCCACTGCATTTTGCTACAAGACTATTGCTAATGAACATCTTTGTATTAGTCTACCAACCTCTATAAATTTAAGAGCACGATGAATCCTACAATTTTATCAGCTTGCCAGTAAAACTGAAATGTAACTTTTTAAAAACCTAAGTATTGTCACTTAGATGCCACTTTCAGGTATTGATCTATAGGGTTTCAGATATAAATTGTTATGGCGTATCCACAAAATACGTTGTAGCAACAGGAGCCTTCAGTTTTTGTTTTAATTTCACAAATGATGTTAGTGGTTCTTTTAAGTTATATTCGATGTGTCTCATTCTGTCATACTATATGTGTCTCAATATGTCATACTAATAAGGCTATGCACAGCATATTTAACCATGCAATTTCACTTACCAGGAATAAGAATAGTAATGGCTGCTTGAACTGCATGGCGTATTATATTATCCATTGCAAACATCCAATGAGGTTTGATTAAATGATTCCTTAATACTTTATTCACCTGTTAGAAAGAGGAAAACAAATGGTTACATATTAAATGTCCAACTTACTAATCAGGTAACTGCAGCATTAAATAAAGAAACTTGGATTACCATATTTTTGGAGTATAAGACGCACCTTTTTCCCTCAAAAAAGGCTATAATTCTGGGTGCGTCTTATACATTGAATACAGCATTTTTGGCATCCCAAAACCCGCCCCTTCACAAAAATGGTCGTGCATAGCCTTTAGGAGGCTTCCAGAGTGCTCCTAGGGGCTGGGGAGGGCAGACATGAACAAAAAATGGGTTGTTTTTTTGTTCAATCCCCCCCCCCAGCCCCACTCTATAAGCCTCCTAAAGGCTATGCATGCCCTTTTTTTTGACAAAAAACAGATCCTTTTTTGGGAGGTCTGCAGAGTGCGAATTTTTTTTAAAATTTGCCTATTCAAAATCTTGGTGCATCTTATACTCCTAAAAATATGGTAATAGCTCCTATAAGCAATTGAATTATATCAGGAAAAGACACTTTCTGAAGATTCAGTAAACATGGAGAACTTCAATTTTTATATATCTTGGGGAAAGGCAGCTGCTTCTATTTGAAGAGCATTACTGGTTGTTATCTACTATCAGACTTTCTTAAGTTTGTTAACTAAGTTATTAATTGGAGAATTAAGCTATTCTCCAAAGTACCTGACGGTAGGATAAGAAGCAATGGGTGGAAACTAATCAAGGAGATAAGCAACCTAGAACTAAGGAGACATTTCCTGACAGAACAATTAATCAGTGGAACAACTTGCCTCCAGAAGTAGTGAATGCTCCAACTCTGGAAGTTTTTAAGAAGATATTGGATAACCATTTGTCTGAAGGGGTGTAGGGTTTCCTGCCTAAGCAGGAGGTTGGACTAGAAGACTCCAAGGTTCCTTCCAACTCTGTTATTCTGGTGCTAATTAAATGTTTTGATACTACAATTTTTAGGCAACATTATCATTTCAAGACTTCTAGCTTAAGGAAAGCTTAATTTTCATGGTAAAAACTGGATAAATTGACAGAATGACTGTTTAATATCTGAATAAAATTATAATAACTGTTTTTAAAGAAAAGCCAAAATTTGTAGTGTTCAGAACATATATTTCCTTAGCATTTCAATGTTTTATTATCTGCAACTATATTATCATCCAGGCAAGGCAAAAGACTACATATGAAATAATGTATCTATACTGGCCATGTAAAAGTACCTGGGATATTTGCTTACTTAAGCCTCTATACACAATATATTTTACAAGTATCTGCATAGAGGAGAAAGTGAAATTTGTTTACAACAATTTTATAAATAAATAAAAATGTTCTGGAAGATTTTCTAGGTATGCTTTCAATCATCATCTGCAATGAAATGTTTATATTTAATGAGTGTCAGGCAGGCTTGTCTTCTGCTCTTTCTTCAGAATGCTATAACCTTGGTGTAATTTTCTTGAATTTTAGGTCATGAGACGTATTCATTTGCTCATACTAGAGAATATATACTAACTGCGCTAAAGTGCTTAAGAATACATGAATGTTTCTAACAGCAAAACTCTGCCCTCCCCTGTATTCCAAATATTAAACTAGGATTGGACATACTGCATCTTGAAATCCAAACAATACTAATTGAATCTGATTGATTGAAGTATTGTCAAAATCAAGATCCATTTTCAACTTTGATATAGTTGATGCCATAATTCTGTGTTCAGGAGAGTGTATGAAATCTCTTAAAATCCCAATTATCTGCTTAATGTGAGCAACTGAAAGACGCAGCTCTTCAGAACTCTGAAAAATATGAACATGCAAAATAATTTTTTTTAAAGTCAGAAATGATGAGTTCAACAAATGCTATAACTATTGTTAAATAAGTAACTCAAACCCATAATTACCCAAAATCATATTATTGAATCAATAAATTAATTGAAAAGAGGCTTAGTAACTGGCTTGTCAAACTGAATATTGACAGTATAATTGAAAGCTACCTGTTTCATTTATTTTCATTTCTTATATAATTATATAGTAGTAATTAAGAATGGAAGAGCAGTAAGAGCCAGTTTGATGTAATGATTAAGGTGCTACAAACCAGAAGATTGTGAGTTCTAGTCCTGCATGAAAGCCAGCTGGGTGACTCGATCAGTTGCACTCTCAGCTGAAGCTACTTGACAGGATTTTGTCGTGAGGAAAACAGGAAGAGGAAAGGAGTACGGGTAGCCCTCTACTTATGACCACAATTGAGGTCAACATTTCTGTTGCTAAATGAGACATTTGTTAAGTGAATCATTGCAGTTGTTAAATTAGTAGCATGGTTGTTAAGTGAATCTAGTTTTCCCATTGACTTTGCTTGTCAGATGGTCGTAGGTGATCACACTGCAAGTGTCATAAATATGAGTCAGTTGCCAGCATCTGAATTTTGATCACGTGACCACAAGGATGCTGCAATGGTTCTAAGTGTGAAAAACTTTCATAGCTCACTTTTTTCAGTGCTGTTGTAACTTAAAGGAATTGTTATAAGTTGAGGACTACCTTATTATGTAGGCTCACTGCATTATTTGTTAGAAAATAATAAAGTAGGGTAAAACATTTTTTAAAAAAGAAGGTGCAGCTATGCTTAACTTTTTACATGCTGCTTTTTATATTTGGACTCCCGAGATTGGAAAAGAAGTAGAAGGAAAAATAAACCTGTTATTTCTGTATCATATCACTTTTTATGACTCCCTCTATGAAAATTTCCATTTAATAATGTTTATTTAGTGTTTTTCCTAGTGCTTGGAAAGTATGAAGAATATAAAGCAATTTTATGTGCATGTATAAAAGATAAATCAACTGATCCTAAAAGCCAGAGAAGGTCTTAGCATGAAATTTAGTTGAAATGTTTTTTATGTCATCGTGTGGAAATTGACTGCTGGTTTAGTCCAGGGGAGGGAGGGAAGAAAACAAGAAGAAAGAAAAACAATAGGAAAGGAAAGGAAAACAAGAGGAAAAGAAAGGAAGCCAAATGTCTAGAAGAATCATGGCCAAAAATCAAAAGAAAAATGTATCATTTCTATTGACTTTCATATTGTTATGTCAACAAATCCTACCCTATATAATACTGTGTTTTAAAATTCTCATATAAAGCAATTAGTTTACCATTAGTTTTTTGCAAACTAGCAAGGTATGTTATTACCTGTGCTACACAATCTTGTAGATTAGAAGCTACTTGATTCTGCTCATCCTTAAGTATTTTATAAAGAATTGCACGACGTTCACTGTCCTTCCTTAGTAAGAAAAGACCAGAATCTTTTTCCTCAAAGGAAGGAGAGGAATTTCGCTCATCTGGAATTGAGCTTTCATCAGGAACACTGTGAGAAATGACAATATTCACAGAAAAGTATAAATGACCACATAAAATTATGAATAAAACATGTCCTAACGGTTAAGTAACTTATTTTATTGATTTAATAAAATACAAAAAAGATAAGTAACAAAAGGAGACTGGTGATAACATTCTGAGATCAGACTATTTTCCAGCACACCAGCAAACTCCCAACTGGCATAAAGATCAGGATGCAAATTTCCTGACAACAATTGAAATCGAACAAAATGTTACTATCTTCCTGGAAATTCAGATGGAAATGTCAGCAAGTAAAAAATAAATAATTCTAGTTTCAAGTGATATAGGAGTCCTGAGTACCAATGCCATAAAAAGGACAATAAAGTAAGAGATGCACAACTTATTCAATTGCAGTATCTGAGTTGATACAAAGCTACTCCACATTGACATCAAAGATAAGGAATTAAATCTTGTCTGTGCGCACTTTTTTATATGTAGCACATTTGAATAACTTCAAATGAGTGGACTAAACTGCCACCAAACTACTGTTTAATATGCCAAACTACTGCTTAACAGCAAAGCTTATACTATACAGCTGACATAAAATTGCCACCCCCAGGCAAGTAATTTGATCATTGTAAATTTTACCTTAATAAATGGGAAAGGGGGCTCTTTGATTGAATTTCAGAAAGAGAACGCTTGGCTTTTTCAAATAACATGTCAGATTGCACATCAGAATCTGGCGAGACAGACCCAGGCTCACTGCTACTACTGCCAACCTGCTCCCCGTGGACTGGCAGAGGCAGAGAAGCACTCCGATTATAATCTGGAAAAGAGCAAAAGAATAAATAAAAATGTTATTTGTTTCTTAAGCAATGGAAAAACTGGGCTACAATCAAGTTTAATTAAAATAGCTGTCAAATATAATCAAACAAGACATTGGAAAAGCAAAACCCAATCTAGTCAAGGTAGTCCTCGACTAGAAGACCTCCAAGGTCCCTTCCAGCTCTATTCTGATTGATTGACTTAAGACCACAAGTGAGCCTAAAATTTCTGTTGCTAAGTGAGACATTTGTTAAGTGAGTTTTACCCGATTTTACGACCTTTCTTGCAGCACTTGTTACATCAATTACTGCAGTTGTTACCTTAGTACCACCATTGTTAAATGAATCTGCCTCCCCCATTGACTTTGCTTGTCAGGTCACAAGAGGTGATCACATGACCCTGGAACATTGCAACTATCATAAATGTATTAGATGCCAAATGTATGGATTTTAATCATGTACAGTAACCATGGGGATACTACAATGGTCATAAATGTGAAAAATGGCCATAACTCACTTTTTCAGTGCCCTTCTAGCTTCGAATAGTTACTAAATGAACTGTTTGTCAGGTCCACCATATTCAGCTTGGCACTGCGCTGGCATCCTGCCATCAAAAGACTTGGGGGGGACATGAGGGGAGACAAATGGGCAGCAATAAACCTGTATGCATTTTTGTCTCCAAATTTGGGAGGGGGGATGACAGCTGAAGTGGTGTTTTGCCTACTAGATGGCTCCATAGCAGGGGTGGGTGGGTAGAATCCCAGCAACGTTCATCAGCAAGCTGATAGAAATGTGGATGGGGGCTCACACAAAGTTTTACTGTTGCACCAAGTATGAAAAGGTCCCTGGTGCAAGACTCCGTAACATGGCTACGGAAATGGAACCCCTATGTGAACTGGGGGGAGGTGGCTGCTTAAAATCTGATGAGCTGAAGTGAAAGGAAAGCTGGGGAAAGACTTAGGAGGCCCGAAGCCAAGGCAGGAGGTAGGAGCTACAATGCAGAAGTAAAAGAAGGCCAATCCTTGAATTCCACAGGAGTACTAGGACCTGCGGGAAGTGTTTAGTGAAAAGGGCTCCCACCCCATTGGTCAACTGACTGCTCCACAGAAATCCTGCCGGGTGCTAAACTGCCTAAGCCCAAGCTATATTCAATGACTCCTAGGGAACTAGAAGAATTATGGGCTTTATAGACAAATATTTAAAATGGATTCATCCAATCCGCCCAACCTGGGGTCGCTGCCCCGTTCTTGTTACAGGAAAAAAAGGACAGATCCCTTTGTCTGTGCATAGACTGCAGAGGACTAAGTAGGGTGTGTGTTGAAAATATCTGTTGCCCCTAATGAAGAACATGCTAGCCCAACTGGCAAAAGGAAAGGTTTTTACCAAACTGGACTTGCAAGAAGCATATTACTGAGGCCGAATTAAAGAGGGTGACAAGTGGAAAACATTTAACTGCCCTTTGGAATGTGTTGAATTTAGAGTTCTCCCTTTTGGATTGTACGGGCCCCCATTATCTCCCACTAAGAAAAGTGATGAGTCAAACTGTAGGGCATTTCGGTTTTGTAAAAACATTTCACTTATGCCATCAAAGGACTGGGGAGGGCGACATGGGGTGTGTGTCAAATGGGCAGCAATAAACTTGTATGCATTTTGGGGGGGGGGATTTGGGACGGGATGACAGCTGAATAAAAGCAGAACACCGTGCAACCTGTTCATGCCAAGGCATCTTCAGGCCATTTGCCCCGAGTGTGGAAACTGACTTTACTGCAACCAGCATCTCTTAGTAAAAGTACCTTTCACTTTAAACAAGTGGAGACGAGGGTTTTTCTTCCCTAAGGAATTGGGGCAGATCTGACACTGTTGTAAGTTGAGCAGTAACTTGTAAGGTGAATCTTCTTACATCAGCAAAGGAAGAGCAATTAACTTAGAAAGTTATCTAAATAGAAATCATGTGATTCCAACAGAATATTCTTGATTAAGAAAGCTGCAAGTGATAAAGAATATTATAATGTCTTTGCTGTGGTTAACTGTTGTAGTACAGATAGTACTCAAGACCATAATTGAGTTCAAAATTTCTGTTGTTAAGTGAATTCTGTCTGATTTTGTGACCTTTTTTGTCACATTTAAGTGAATCATTGAAGTTGTTGAATGAATCATGTGGTCATTAAGTAAATCTAGTTTCTCTTGTCAGAAGTTGGCTGGGAAGATTACAAATTGTGAGCACATGACACCAGAGCAGTGCAACTGTCATAAATACATGCCAGTTTCCAAGCACCCGAATTTTGATCATGTGACCATTGGGATCCTGTAACAGTTGCTTTGTGTGAAAAAATGGTCATAAATCACTTTTTTCAATGCTGTTGTAACTTCAAAGAGTCACTAAATCAATGATTGTTGAGTAGAAAACCACCTGTACTAAAATTTGTGTAAGGTTTCTTCCAATTCAATCAAATCCATGCTTGTTCAGAAATCATTGTTTTAGAATTACTTTAAGTTCTCACTCAATTTTAGACTATAACCTTATCAACTTTTCTCCTTTTCAATATAGAGCCATACTTAAGGGGAAAAGTGCTCTAAGATTTATCCGGGAAATAAAATTCAACATGGAAAGTTTGCTCATAGTTTTTTTCTTTATCTATTTAATAAATCCCAGGATTCTTGTTTCATACAGATAAATCAGGGACGGTTATTACCATAACATTAATTGCACAATATAAGCAATATAGTGATCTATACTGTCAAAACATTAATCTACAATAGTTGTCAGACACGATTTTTTTTTTTTTTGCCAAACTTTTCTGGCCATGCCAGAGACTGAACATGGATTGTTTGCAAAGAAAGCATATTTTTCATCAATGAATTATATAATTCTTGCCACATCTGGAATTCAGTCAATTTTATCTAATTATTCTTACATAATTCTTAGCTGGGCTATAGACATAATGACTTTTTTTGATTTACCTGAAGGTTTGAATGCAATTCTACTTTTCTTGCCTTTGTTCACTTGCTTTAAGAACGAGTCTTTCAATAAATCAGATGCGGTAACACGTTTATTTGGATCAGGTTCAAAGCAGAGTAAGATAAAAGCTTTAGCTTCAGCAGAAAGTGATTCAGGGATTTCAGGGTGAATTTTGAACATCCCAACCTGTAAGTAATAAAGGTTGCCTGTGTTATTTGAAGATTAAAAATTAATCTAAAATTGCATTGTTTTATTGTGTGCATAAAACTATTAAAAGTGAGAATAAAAGCTTTTCAATTAATTGAAGCTTATGCTAACTGTATCACAAACTATGTTTTGTCTCAAATAATATGACCTAAAATAATAACAAACATTTATGAAGCAGATCTATTGAATACTTCAGAAATTATTTCTGAAGTCCCAGACTAAAACACAGTCATTTTGTGTGTTACATTTGAAGAACAGCCAAGTTCCAAGTAAATCTAAGTCATGAGTTCCTGGCCAAGGAGAGGTTCCAACAAAGACATCAGGTCTTCATCAGACATATCTGAAAAGAATGCTACTTTTGCTCTAGATACAATATTTGCTTCTAATCTTTTAAAGACTTATATTGTATTCTAAATTTAATTTTTATGTAGTACAATATTCTATTTTATAGTTACCAATTAGGTATTTACAGCATTAAAATACTATAATTAGTCATAGTCAAGCAAATAATTGTAAGAATTTAAAATGAGATTTAAAATGAGTATAACTTTTTAACTGCAGTGAAACCTCTCACAGAGATTTTTTAAAATCTTGATATTTTTTATTCAGATCCATCCACTGAAGTCTTTGGTACAACCAACAGGACCTCATAGACATGCACAATAATTGGGTTCACTTATCACATTAAGCCAAAATGAACAAGCCACAGTCTAAAGTAACATGCAATGCACATTTAATCTACCATCTTCATTAGTTGATTTCAACTTATCCCCATAGAAAAAGAAAAGGCCATGTTTTGATTTATTTATTTTATTTTAGAAATTTTATATTGCCGCTTACTCTCACATGGGGACTCAAGGCAGCTTACACAGATATACCATATAAAAGAAATAAAAATAAAATAAAAGAGGAATAATAAAATAATAACCCCCATCCCCCACCCTGGCGACAACACACACTCATACAAACCATTTAATGGACTCCATCCTGCTCTGGGTTCTCCAGACCTGCTGACAAACGTCTTCAGCATCTTCCAAAAGAGTGTTAGAGTAGGGGGCAGTCTAATGTTTGGGCAAATGATGTTCCATAGAGAAGGTCTTTCTGGCTCCCGCCAGATGTATCTCCCTAGGGGATAGGACCTGCAACATTCCTTGCCTCCCCGCTCAAGTAGGTCAGGTAGATATGACCAGCAAGAAACTAAATTTATGGGTCTTTGTCTTGAATAAGGAGTGACGGGATAAATGAGGACTAGAAGGCTTAGAGTCTGAAAATTTTAACCTAATTAAATCAGAGTTTGTTTTTATAGATCACTCTGAAAGCAGACTTGTCAAGTTTATGTTTCTATCAATTCGGATATAGACTTAAATGTTTATTTTTTATAGGTACATTGCAAATCCAGCAGTATTTTATTTCAATGTTATTTTTTACATATACTCGCTTCTTACAAAAAGGCTGTTTTATAACACTAGTTTATGTCCTTGTAACAAAGAATCTTCATAACTATATTTTATTCTACACGGGCTGTTTGTGATGACAAGTTAGAACATTTAGCGCTTGCAAAACTGCTGTACACCTCCTAATTTAACAGGAAAGGTAAACATATCTAGATAACTTTTGTTCTCAGTCACAATTCAGTTCTTACTTTGAACATTGCTGCTTGTGGCTCTCCAAGTTCATGAAATGGAGCCCTTCCTGTTGACATTTCAATGATAGTACATCCCAGGGACCAAATATCAGCTGGTGCCCCATATCCTCGAGGGCCCTTATCAATAATCTCTGGAGCCATATACTGCAAAGTACCTAAAATTAGGGAGGATAAAAGAAGTATTATGTGAACAGACTCTTTTCTTTCAATATTTACAGGTGAATTTAACAGGTAGACCAATGTCAATACTGGCAACTCTTGACTGCTAGACTATTTTACTACAATTTGTTTAGATACAGTATTTGCCAATACATAAGGAAAAGAAAAAAGTTCCTTCCAATAATATTGAAAATGTATGCTTCAGTGCATCTTCTAGGCTTCTGCATATACAAAAACTTAATTATTCAACTTTGTACAATGATATTGTACTGAGAGAAAAAATTGCTGTTAAATACCAAATTTATAAATTAATAGATAATTATGTAAAATAGTTATATTATACCTACATTTATTTATATTCCTGAATTGAATACGAATTTATGTTCAGTAAATATATTCTGGTGAATATTATCCAGATTGCTGACCAGATATTCACTTACTCCGACTTCTGGTGGCACCGTAAGGCTCTGACGACGTCCCTCTGGGATGCTCCAGCCCCGAGATCGCGTTAAACTGCTAGGACAACATAAATCAGTTGTCTAGCAGTTTGAAAACTCTTTTGTCGGGGGAAGAGGAGAGCTGCCGAGCAAGGGTAGAGCTCCCTTAAACCCCCAGGAGCAATTTCTGGGGCTTGGAAGGTGTAAGCCCCCCTATAGCTCGACACTGCTCCGCTCTCAGGACGCGTCTGCTACTGCAGATCAAAGAGCCGCGACCATCCCTGCAATCAACGTTTTAATCTACATTTGAATAAGAAGCAGGCAGAGCAAATACTGGAGAGTTTTACAGCTGCAAGTACAAAACTTTAACTCCATTTCAGTAAGTTTCTTCTGTTAAAATTAACGAGATAGAAGTGAAAATGGCATCTGAACATTAAAGGGTGTGGTTAAACTGAAACTTAACAAGCAATTATCTCTTAAGTGTTTCATAACGTTGTTAAAAGAACCAAGAGTTTAAGATCATACAAAATAGCATTGACTTACTAACAAGCTGGGATTAGGTGGACTTTTTGGACTTAACAATTTGGCTGCAGATAAATGTGATTGAATAGCTGAAATGGCTTCAAAGCAAGTCAAATTAACTGCTTCAAAGAGCGCTGGCAGCTCTCCAGCCCAGACAAACAATTCTGCAGTCATTATTACCTCCTCCCCCTGCAGAGGTTTTAACTCTTGAAGCTCTTCAAGGTGCCTTAAAGGAACAGGCTTCTGTGTTAGAAGCAAAAATAGAAGAAAAAATCACAACTGCCTTTAAAGAGGTCTCTTATGAAATGTCTGAAATCAAAGATTTAATCCAAACCCGCAATCAACAAATAAGAGAAGATGCCTTTAAGGGTAACGTCATTGGAGGACAGGCTGGAAGAAATTAACCAGTCCAATGTGAATTTAGAGAGCAAAGTTGAAGATGTTCAAAGTAAGACTGAAAAGTCAGAGGCAGAAATTACAATGATACAATATAGAGTGATGGAATTTGCTTTGAGAAACAGAGGCCTGAAAGAAAATAACCAGGAAAATTTGAAAGAGATTTTTGCAGAAGCTTTTGATGAATTAATTGGTCAACCCAGAGCTGAGTATGATTGGCAAATTGACAAAATTTACCACGTTTATTCATGGATTGCCAGACAAAGACAATTACCAAGAGATATTGTAATCTACTTTGCTACCAGGAATACAAGGAACCTGATACTACAAGCGTCCTATAAAACCAAATTGTAAAATGCAGGTCAGGAGGTGTTAGTATTAAAGGAAATTCACCAAAAATGTTGAAATATAGAAAAAATTTTTAGTGGATGAACTCAGAAATTGTCAGATACAATACAGGTGGGAGGTTCCAGCTGGATTAGTGGTGAACTACTACTACGGGACAAAGATATCGTCTCAACTCAGTTTGGAAGGCCAGAGATTTTTACAGCAACATATTAAAGGCTGGTCACCCTCCATCTCCAGGATTTAGAGAAAGGAAAGAAGCAGGAGAGGCCAGACAGCAAGATATTCAAGGATCAATGGATGCTGCTCAATATTTGAATCTTCTTGTGGAGACAGAAGGAATTATGGAGCAAAGACAAACTTGAGCGGCTACTAAATGCAAGGAACAAGAATTAAAGATGTAACAAGCTCAGACAACAATCCAAGAAACTACAAACATAAACACAGAAGCTGTGGGGGGAGCTAGACCGAAAATCAAATTACAGGATTTCCAGGTGGCTCTTAAAAAGCTTCAGGGAGATGAAGATGGCAATTAAATTTTTAACCTGCAATGTTAATGGCTTAAACTCACCACAAAAAAGGAAAAAAATATTCCATTATTTGAAACAATTTAAAAATGATGTAATTTGCTTAAAAGAAACACATATCAGAACAAATGACCAGAAATATTTGATGAATACAAGATTGGGACAACATTTTGTAGCATCTGCTTCGGAGAAAAAGAACGGTATAGTTATATACTTAAGAAAAGATTTAAAGGCTGAATTAATCGAAGCAGACCCTCAAGGAAGATATATTGTAATTGAATTATTAATAGAAGGAAAGAAGACACTCTTAACGGTATATGCCCGCAATCAACAAGAAAATTTTTATAAATTGCTCCATACCAAGTTAATACAATGAGATTATAGATCATGTATATTATTGGGTGATTGGAACGAAGTATTGGATACCAGGAAAGACAAGAAGGGACTATTGCAAAATATTCACCAGAGACACGGGAGAGGGTCGGGGTATTACGGTCGTAACAGGGAGGGGCAGATATGGCGGGG